GATGTTTGATGGTATTACAGATATCGTCGCAGGATGGAAGCAGTTCCTAGTAAATATTATTATTATTATTATTATTATTATTATTATTATTATTATTATTATTATTAAAGGAGTTTGCTGCCCTCACACAAATGCACACGGCGCTTTTGTTCCTAAAAAGAAAGAAAAAAAACAGGGCAAAAATTCTATACCTTCCGCCGATAAAAAATTCTCCCAAATTTCCTTATTCCTTGGGAGGGTGGAGGGAGAGAGGGGAAAAAAAATCTCATAAAAGCAGATGGGCTTTCACGAAGCTGAAGGAGGTAAGGGAGAAACTGCCTGAGCCAGCAGTCAGGCTGAGCCTCCCAATTTCCAATTATCTGCAGTTTCCCCCAGAAGAGCTCGTAAAAGGCCAGCATTTATAATTCATGGGAGCCTCGCAAACAGACCTTTGTAGGATTAGCTGGTCTAAGTTTGAAAGGGGGGAGGAAAGAGCACAAGGATGCTTGCAACGAAGGAGTGGAGAAATGTGCAAGAGGTCAGCCCAAAATTTGTGTTTGCTAAGCGAGACATTTCAAAATAGAATTTGGCCCCCTTTTACCAGCTGCCTGGCCACAGGCTGTTCAGTCAATCACTGCCGTTGTTAAGTTGGGAACGCGGTTGTTAAATGAATCTTGGCTTGTCGGAAGGCCGCAGGAAAAAAAACGATCCCGGGTTGCATTATATGTCCTGTTTTCAACATTCTCCTTTAGACTTTTTCCCTTATTGAAAACAGGACATGTGGTGGTGGTGGTGGTAGTAATAATAATAGTAGTAGTAATAATAATAATAATAATAATAATAATAATAATAATAATAATAATAATAACAACAACAACAATAATAATAATAATAATAATAATAATAATAATAATAATAATAGCAGAATAGAGGAGAAAGAACTGGAGAAGATAACAAAATACAAAGACCTACAAATAGAAATAGAAAGACTGTGGCAAAGGCAAGCAAGGGTAGTACCAATAGTCATAGGCTCCTTGGGCGCAATCCCAAAACAATTGGAGCACCACTTGAACACCATCATCGGAATTGACAAATTCGCCATTAGTCAATTGCAAAGGGCGGCCTTACTAGGAACTGCTTCCATCCTGCAACGATACCTGTAAGACCATCAAACATCCACATCTGCCTATCCCAGGTCCTTGGGAAGAACTCGATAGGTAGACAAAATGCCAAATCCAGTCTGAACATCTGGCTGACTGTGCAATGATCCATAATAATAATAATAATAATAATAGTTGGAAGGGACCTTGAAGGTCATATAGTCCAACCCCGTGCTCAGGCAGGAAACCCTATATACTATTTCAGACAAATGGCTGTCCAGTCTCTTCTTAAAAACTTCCAGTGTTGGAGCGTTCACAGCTTCTGGAGGCAGGTGGTTCCACTGGTTAATTGTTCTCACTGTCAGGAACTTTGGCCCCTTCATGACTTGTGGACTTCAACTCCCAGAATTCCTGAGCCAGCATGGGGCAACTATGGCCCCTTCATGACTCGGCGACTTCAACTCCCAGAATTCCTGAGCCAGGATGGGGCAACTATGGCCCCTTCATGACTCGGCGACTTCAACTCCCAGAATTCCTCAGCCAGCATGGCTCAGCTTGGAAACCTCTCCCATTCCTCTCAGCATAGCTGGCTCAGGAATTCTGGGAGTTGAAGTCCATGAGTCATAAAAGAGCCGAGATTGCCTACCCCTGGTTTAGTTTAAGAAGCATTATTTCCACTGCTGAGCAAGCGAAACGACCCAATTTTACCTCCTTTTTGGCCATGGTTGCAAAGCAAATCACTGCACTTGTTCAGTAAAAATCCAGCTTCCCCCACTAACTTCTCTTGTTAGACTTTGGCTGGGAACGACACAAATGGTGATTCGACGAGGCTGGGATGCTTGCAATTCCCATAATTACATTCAGGGTTTGCCAAGTGCCCAAATTTCGAACACACAACGATGCTGTGACTGTCGTTAAGTATAAGGACAGTTGGAAGTCATTTTTTTTGCAGCCACTTCAAAAAGCCGCTAAACAAATGATTTTTTTAAAAGCCATTTTAGTGAAATGGTATAGGGTTTCCTGCCTGAGCAGGGGGTTGGACTAGATGACCTCCAAGATCCCTTCCAACTTTATTATTATTGTTGTTGTTGTTGTTCTTGTTGTTACTTAGTGCACCTGGCAACCTTTAAATGGTTTTGCATGGATTCTCACACTCTGTATTTGCTTCTTGAACAGATTGATGGCAGCCCACAAGGCAGGTAATCCTTGACTTACAAACAGTTCACTTAGTGACCGTTGAAAGTTACAGCGGCACTGAAAAAAGGGACTTTGGGCTGTCATACTTAATGACTCGCAGCATCCCCAGGGTCACGTGGTCAAAATTCAAACGCTTGGCAACTGACTCCTATTTATGACGGTCGCACGCGATCCCCTTTTGCGACCTCCTGACAAGCAAAGTCAATGGGGAAACCGGATTCACTTAATAACCGCGTTACAAACTTAACTGCAGTGGTTCACTTAACGGCTGTGGCGAGAAAGGTCGTAAAATTCAGTTTTAAAAAATCTCATTTAAAGGAGATCCCACCCAAAATTTTAAGAAGAAGAAAGGACTTTGTTTTCTTAGCAGATGAACTTAAAAAGAGACGAATTTCGTTTAGATGGGATGTTCCGATTGGAATGGTGGTGAACTACCTGGGGATATGTTATATGTTTTGCTCAAGCAAAAGATTTTTATACTTCGGTTCTGGGGGTATGTTCATCGCCATCTATTAAGTTTAAAGCCTTGGAAGAAAAGAATGTAGAATTACAGTTTGAAGAGCCTATGTTTATGAAAATTGGGGAATCTTTGTTTGGGAGGCCTCAACAAGCTCAGGTTGAGGAGCAGAAGACAACTTGTGCAGCACACAACTGTAAAGAAAAGCAGCAACAGAAGAAGGTTAAGGAAGCCTCACATTTAGTGGTATCTGAATCTGCGGGAGAAGCAAGATTTATAAAGCCTTTGGAGCAATCCTCAAGGGTTGAATTGTTGTCTGAAGAAATGGAAAATGGGAAATCTCAGCTTGAGGGGTTTCAACAATTGAGAGGGGACAGAGGATAACTCGTGCAACACATAATTGTAAAGACCAACAGAATAAAGAGTTTAAGGAATCCTCACAGGTATTGGCTTCGGAGTCGTTGGGAGATTCAGGAATTTTGGAGCAATCTTTCAAGGAAGATCTCAAAGCATTTCTTTTGAGCTTGATAAGGATAAGGACGGAGAATGAAAATTAAGATTGATAAGGATCGAGAATGAAAATGGATAACTGAGACTGACAATAATAATATTAGTATGATAAGGATGGAGAATGAAAATGGATAATTGAGACTGATAAGGACTGTGTTTTTTGTGGATGGGATTTGCTATTGGTGAAGATTTAAATGTTTAATGTGTTTATGCTTGATGGAGTTTGTTATTGATAAAGATTTAAATGTGCATAAGGGAATTCTAATGTTTTAAGTTTTAAGTAATGTTTAAACTTGTGTTTTAGAGGGAGTTTATAAAGAATGATAATAATATCAGTAATTATTATTATTACTATTTTCAAGATGGAATTTGATTAAATGTGTATAAAGGGATTCTAATGTTTTAAGTTTTAAGTTTTACGTAATGTTTAAATTTGTGTTTTGGAGGGAGTACAATTTGTTTACGTTAATTCAAGTAATGTTTAAATTTGTGTTTTGGAGGGAGTATAATTTGTTTAACTAAATGTATTTAGATTTGTTTATGATTTATATTAGATTTTATATTATAGGTATAGATGTTCAAAGAAAGTTTAGAGTATATTATAATGTGTTTAATGATTTTAATTATTATTTTTATTAGAGAAGATAATCTACTTAATTTAAGGTATTCAGATTTGTTTAGGATTCATATGTGTTTTAAGTTTCTTTTTTTTTTTTCTTTTTGAAATATTTAGGATAAGCCTGTAATCAACTCTGGGAGGCCTAGGGGAGGGTTAGGGAGGTTTGGGGAGATGGGGGAGGGTATGGAAGGGTGGGTTTGGGGAGGGGATTTGTTTTGTAAAATTTAAAAAAATTTTAATAAAAAAAAATCTCATTTAACGACGTGAACTGTATGGCCATAAAACGAGGACCACCTGTTTGGCCAGCTCTCGAGAACATTTGGCAGCCCTGGAGAAAAGCCAAAAGCGACTTTGTGCAGCAACAGAAACTCTTGCGGCCAATTTTGGCTGTAAGCCGAGGACTAACCCATGCATGCTTTCTCCATCGGTTTTAAGCTGACTAGGCAGTTCCTAAAGTGCCAACACTGAGCCCCATGGATTTTTTTTATTATTATTTTGGCAATTAAGGGATGTTTCCAATAATACCTGGGCTATAAATCTTTGCTTCGGGATGACCATCAAAATAACTTTAGACTGACTTTCAATTCCAAGGAGGTCCCCGGGGAGAAATATTGACCCAACCTTCCAATTTAATGTCAGCAACTGACCTCAAAGAAATCTCCTGCAATAAATATTGCAGCAGCTTCTCCAAGCGATATTTTGGAGCAAAAAAAATATTATATTATATTATATTATATTATATTATATTATATTATATTATATTATATATTGTATTAATTATAGTATAGTATAGTATATTATTATATTATTATATTATATTATTTTGTAGTATATTGTATTATATTATATTATATTATATTATAATATTATTATATTATATTATATTATATTATATTATATTATATTATATTATATTATATTATATTATATATAGTCTCTAATTATGCTAAAAATACGAATCCTGGGTAAATCCATGCTATAAAATAATCCAAACACCAGGATAATACTAAAAACAAAACTTGTTTAATTAAATTAATTAAAGTCTTTCGTCGGTCAACACTACCGACATCATCAGAGCATGATGCAAGATTGCTGGGAGTCTATATATATATAGATCCCCTTTAAATCATCTACAGACCTTTTTATTGTTTGAGAACTTCCATTTCTTGCCCTTGAGTAGAAATCCCTGTCTGCGTGAATGGGAGGCTTGAAATCAGGAAATTGGCCGTCCCAATAAGACCACCGCATTTTATTCAGGGCTATTTTTAAGAGCTATCAAGTCACCGTATAAATAAATGTCCAATCCTCAGCCAAGCCTTCTAATATTACAACCGCACTGAAGGTTGAGTGAAACCCCAGGCCTGTTTAAAAATTAAATCTGTCCCGTATAAAAACTACATCAGAAAAATATCCTTAACATTTTAACTCACTTCAAAGTCTGTCCCTCGAGGTCCACAAAAGCAAGATTTTAATCAAGTCAAAAGGTCTTCAAATAAATGCGAAGAACGCCTTTAAAAAAAAAAAAAGCTTCTTTTTTTTCCCCCTCTTCCGCAAAGATATCACTTGAATTCCCTTTCTTTGTGAAACGGGAGCGTTTTGCTCCCACAATCAGCTTCAATGAATCTGTTAAGAATGAGGGATCGTGCTTGCGCAAGCTAAACCAAGTTTTAATAAACCTGGTTAGCACGACCCGGTTCTGGTGCTTTCGCCGGCGATGCAAACGTGTGCGGGTGGCCATAGAAATATTTTCAATCAATAAAGGTGGGGAATAAATAAACCTTTCTGTTTGGTTTAGGATTCCATACATGGTGTGAATGCAGAAATAGCTCCTTTCGATTAACTAGGTTAATCAGATTGTGTGAATGCAGCCAGGCTGTCCCTTGGGGAACGTTGGACCATTTCAGTCAGGACCGTTGCAGCATCCACACGATCACATGCTCAAAATTCAGACGCTTGGCAACTGGCAAGTGTTTATGACTGTTTCAGTCTCCTGGGGTCACGTGATCCCCTTTTGCAACTTCCTGACAAGCAAAGTCAATGGGGAGGAAACCAGATTCGCTTAACTTATCAACTGCAGTTAGTCACTTAACAACCGAGGCGAGAAAGAGGGGCAAAATTCACTTAACGACTATCTTGCTTAGCAGTGGAAATTTTGGACCCCAAACGGTGTTTCTCCTTTTGGGGAATAATTAAAATAACTTTTGCGTCCTCTCCTAAGCCAAGTATCCACAAGAACAAGACAGAAGGTGTTTCGAACCCGATGCGCTCAAACGTCAGCTATGAAAATCAATTCTGTAATCCTCAAAGACCCTTTTCACGCACAGACATCCGGTAGAAACCATGATGACACCACTCTACAAAACCTTAGGAATCCATTATCAATGCTCCTTGGTGGGACGTCACATGAGAACTTCCAATTTGACCATGGAAGGCATCCTGCGTGAAAAAATTGGCTCGAGGCAACACGGTGCATTTGTTGCACGGAATCACAACTGAGGTCGTAAAACCGCTTTTTATGTTGTTTTACGGCTTCTAAGGAGCCCCAAGGAAGAGTTTGTGCCAAAAACATGGTTGGATTAGCACAGTGGTTCTCAACCTGTGGTTGGGACCCCATTTGGGGTCGAACGACCATTTCACAGGGGTCGCCAAACAACGCAGTCCGCCATTTTTTTCCCCCTTTTCCTTAGCTGTGCTACTCCCTTTTATTCTATTGGCTTTTGAAAGCCAATAGGATAGACTCTCTTGAATAGAGTCTAATTCTACTGGCTTTCAAAAGCCAATAGGAATTGTCCAGGCTGTCTCTGCCCTGCTGAGCCCGCCAAAAGTCCCAGTCTGCAAACGGTGCTGCAAGTTGTCTTCAGCGAAGGTGAGCTGTCTGGAAGTTTCCACCCCTCCCTGCTGAGCAACTACTAAAAATGTAAGGAAAAGAGGGCCAGGGGTGGGAGGTGGGAGGCCGGCAGGCGCAGGGAGGGTTGCTGGCGCGCGTGGGGCCTGGCGGGTGCCTTACCTCCCTTGGGCTGGGCCAGCTGGTAGCCCAGCTGGTGGTCGGCCTGCGCCATTTCTGCCGCTTGCCAGTTACGCCTCGGCCGGCGCAGGGGACGGCACCACACATGCGCGGCGCTCCCAGGCATGGAAAGTCCTTGACTTACGATCGGTTGGATAGTCCTCGACTTATGATTGGTTGTTTAGTCCTCGACTTACGACCAGTTGGGGGTCGCGGCATTAAAAAGGTTGAGAACCGCTGGATTAGCAAGTAGAAAAGGCAGAAACACTCGACAATGCTAGGAAAGGTTGCCTGTATCTGATATAGGAAATCCTCCACTTATGACCATCGCTTAGCGACCGTTTGAAATTACGACAACCCTCCCTCAAAAGATACAGATTGTGGTCCACTTATGATCACAAATCAGCCCCAAATTTCTGTTGCTAAGGGAGATGTTTGCTAAGTGAATTTTGCCCCATTTTACGACCTTCCTTGACACAGTCATTAAACAAATCGTTGCAGTTGTTAAGTTAGTGACACGATTGTTAAGTGAAGCTGGCTTCCCTCATTGACTTTGCTTGTCAGAAGGTCGCAAAAGGGGATCATGTGACCCTAGGACACTGCAACCGTCATAAATGTGAGTCAGTTGCCAAGCGTCTCAATTTTGATCACGTGACCCTGGGGAGGCTGTAACGGTCGTTAAGTGTGAAAAATGGTCATAAGTCACTTTTTTCAGTGCCGTTGTAACTTTCAACAGTCACTAAATAAATGGTTATAAGTCAAGGACCGCATGTAGCCCTCAATCATGGTTCTGCATTCAGTATTTGCTACTGTGTTCTCCTATCTCAGCGGTTCTCAACCTTTGGGTCGCGACCCCATTTGGGGTCGAACGACCATTTTACGGGGGTCGCCAAACAATGCGACCCACCATTTTTTCCCTCAGGGGCGCTGCCGCGCATGCGCGCTGCGCATGGGGAGGCGCCGTGCATGCGCGCCGCGCTTGGGGGCGGCGCCACGCATGCACGGCGCGTCCTTATGACCGGGGTCGCCGTATAAAAAGGTTGAGAACCACTGTCCTATCTCGATAACATCCAGAAAAATAAAACAGAACAATGGCACAGATGCATTCCTGAATACCTAAGATAGGTGACAAGATAAACTAGAATTGGCGAAGATGATTCAGGTATTATAAATAAAAAGAAATCACAATTCAAGTCATCTCCAGATCGCATAGCCCTGAGTCAGAACTTTAAAAATAGCATCAGAGCTGAGGCTTTAGGACAAGCTTTAACAGCTCATTATGTTCGTTCAGATAGATGATGATGATGAAGATAGATAGATAGATAGATAGATAGATAGATAGATGATAGACAGATGACAGATAGATAGATGATTGATATGATAGATGATAGAGAGAGAGAGACAGAGACAGAGACAGATGATAGATAGATAGATAGATAGATGACAGATAGATAGATGATCGATAGGCAGACATGATAGATAGATAGATGATAGATAGATAGATAGATAGATAGATAGACAGAGAGACAGATGATAGATAGATAGAAAGATAGATAGATAAATAGAAAGATAGAAGGATGGATGGATGGATGGATGGATGGATGGATGGATGGATGATATGTATATGACAGATATATGATATGGATGGATGGATGGATGGATAGACAGACAGACAGACAGATAGATGGACACAGACAGATATAGATATATAGATATAGATATACTGTATATAGATATAGATATATAGATATAGATATAAGTATAGGTATAGATATAGATATAAATTTACAGCAACAAATCTACTAAGATGCAGCCTTTTCCGAAAACTTTCCCAGAATCAGATTTTTTTAAAAAATGACAGCAACTCAAGTTTAATGCCAAGAACCTCACCCTGACAAAATTTCTAACAACAAATACAGGGAATCCTTGACTTGCAACCATTTGTTTAACGACTGTTCAAAGAGGCACTGAAAAAAGCACCCCTGGTCCTCACATTTACGGCCGCTGCAGCATCCCCCATGGTCACATGATCAAAATTCGGATGCCTGGCAACTGACAAGTATTTAATGACGATTGCAGCGTCCTGGGGTCCAGTGATTGCCATTTAGGATTGTTCAAGCTGGCTTCTGGTAAGGAACATCAATGAGAACAGAAAGGTTCGCTTAATGACTGCAGTGATTCACTTAACAGCCATGGCACAAAAAAAAAGCTCATAAAACCAGGTGTAACTTACTTAAAATCCCCCTTGCTTGGCGAAAGAAATTCTGGTTCCAGTTTAGTCGTACATTGAGAACTATCTTTATTGGTAGAGGGAGTCTTCTATTTATGACCATAATTGGTGGTCCAAAATTTCTGTTGTTAAGTGAAGATAGTTGTTAAGGGAGCTTTGCCCCATTTTACAACCTTTATTGCCACAGTTGGCAAGTGAATCCCTGCAGTTGTTGAATTAGTAACACAGATGTGTAACACATCTGGTTTTCATGCCTGAAGGCAGGACTAGAACTCATCGTCTTCTGATGATTGGGCCAAAGTCACCCATCTGGCTTTCATGCTTAAGGCGGGACTAGAACTCACTATCTCCTGATGATTGGGCCAAAGTCACCCAGCTGGCTTTCATGCCTAAGGCGGGACTAGAACTTACTGTCCCCTGGTGATTGGCTCAAAGTCATCCATCTAGTTTTCATGCCTAAGGCGGGACTAGAACTCACCGTCTCCTGGTGATTGGACCAAAGTCTCCCAGCTGGCTTTCATATCGAAGGCGGGACTAGAACTCACCGTCTCCTGGTGATTGGACCAAACTCACCCAGCTGGCTTTCATATCTAAGGCAGCACTAGAACTCACAGTCATCTGCTTTTCTAATCAGTTGCCTAACCCTAGACCAGGGGTAGGTAACCTAGGCTCAGCATAGGAATTCCTGAGTCAGCATAGGAATTCATGGACTTCAACTCCCAGAATTCCTATGCTGACTCAGGAATTCTGGGAGTTGAAGTCCACGAGTCATAAAAGAGCCAAGGTTGCCTACCCCTGCCTTAGACCAAAGTGGTCCTTACTAACTTATTTTTCTAAATCTGACGAAGGGATCTTGAAATGCCAAAGCATTTCATACACACACACACACACACACACACACACACACACACACACAAAATCAGCTGGCGTAATAAAAGTATTGCCTCTCTAGGTTTTCACAAAATTCCCATAAAAATCATTTTCTCAGTGCCATAACAGAAGTGAGCAAAAATAAAACTACAGCTCCCCATCCGAGCCACCAGCCCAGGTCCAAAAACCTTTTCAAGACCTTTGCCGGCTGCTGGGATCCTTGCCAAAGAGTCGATCTTCGTAGCGTCAAGGTC